GGGTGATATCTAGAAACATGCTATCCACAAAGCAGTCAGCCTCGCTCATTCACCACAGTGATATAGCTGCTGCTCAAGATCTGAAACACAGAATTCAAGTCCCTGCATCCGACATTCTCAACACACATGGTTAGTCAGGATACAGAACATGCCCAGGAGTCCCCACATAAAACAGGACTACCTACGTTAAAAAGAAGACTCGCCACTTTGCTTCACTGAAACTTAGCAATGTTTATTGAAATACTTGATCTTCATTAACAGAAGGAAATGGCAATTTTTAATTGCTCAGATCCCTAGGCCAATGTCCTATTTCTCGAAAAAGGGAAACAAAATTATAACAATTAACAGCCAATCAATGGCCTAAGATATCAGAATGTGAAGTCACTTCCCTCTCAATTGGGTAATTTGCTTTAATTTCAATTTTCAATTTTGAATTTTGGAGAACTTCAGATTTGGGAGATAATGGTGCTTGCCACGTCAAAAACATGAAACACTGGAACCAAGATGAAGCACAACTACAACCACTTCAACCCTGTTTATCCTGGATGAGTGTCTCTGCAAAGAAAATGGCACTGTTTGCCATCACTATGGGTGCCAATTAGAAAAATGTCACTGGAGTTGTATATAATGTGCTAACTACTTTGGGCAGATGCAGTAGTTGCCTGCATTTTGTTAAAAAAAACTAATCCGGCTCTCCAATAATAAAGGTGAAACATACCAGATTCACTCGTACACTCTCAGATCATTATTGGGACCCTTAGACAAAGGATGAAGATTTCCCCCCTACCTCTCACCTCTGGAGCTTTTGACATCTGCTACTGCACACAATGAATAAAGAATGTTAATTCACTTGCAACAAGTAATTAAGGCGACAAATGGAATTTTGGCCTTTATTGCCGGAGGGATGGAGTTTGAAAATAGGCAAGTCATGTTGCAACTGCACAGACTGTTGGTGAGGTTGCACCCGAAGTACCATGCACAGTTTCGGTCCCCACTGTTAAATAAGGATATACTGGTGTTGGAGGCAGTGTGAAAGAGATCCACGAGTCAGATTCCTAGGTTGAAGGGGTTGACTTATCAAGAACAGCTAAACAGGTTACGCCTACATTCACCTTAGATGAATGAGAGGTGATCTTATTGAAGCCTACAAAATTCTGACAGAGCTTGATGCTCAGAGAATGTTTCCAGACGGGAGGGAACCAGGGGACATAGCTACAGATTAAGGAGGACACTCATTTAAAACTGAGACGTGAAGGAATTTCTTCTTCCAGAGGGTAGTTCATGTCTGGAATTGTCTACCCCAGAGAGTTGTGGAGGCTAGAACACAAAAGTATTTCAAGAGCTAGACAGATTTTTGAAATAGAGGAGTTGAAGACTATGTGGTACTAACACAAAAGGGAAATTGAGTGTTCATAAAGCAGAGATCGAACCCTTTTGATAACTAAAAGTGAAACACCCAGAGAGGTGAGCCTCACCCTATAATCTGTTAAAAGAACCCCTAGTCTTTTATAAGGAAGTGGTTAATTACAAAATAAACCCCTCAAACACTCTTTATAATCAACAAGTAACAATTTATTTATCTAACTCTAACAGTGAGCAAACCAAACTACTAACAAACTGAATAAACCCCTATCTACTAACTATTCCCAAATAAAACAAGGTTATAATAGTATGCTGTTCCAATAAATAAAAATCCCAATTATATAAAATAAAATTTAAAAAATTTAAAATTTAGTCTCTCGAAATTACAGCCAGGTTACGTCTTCCAGACTGTTTTGTGTCTTCTCTGACGAATACTTCTGTCAGGAATGCCTTCTCGGTGAATCCTTCTGTCAAGAACACCTTCTCCGTCAAATTCATTGGTCAGGAACATTAACCGTTTGTGTCTTGGGTACCTTTAATTTGGATGGAGCTTAATCTAAGGCTTAGAGAATTCTGAGAGAGCAAGTGACAAATGACAGTTGGCTCTACCCCAATTAGTCCTATGTCGTCAAAACCATCAGATTTAAATTTAATTGGTTTTTGCTATATCAGGACCTGGTTTAAATTAATTGGCTAAATTCAAAAACCTGTTGGCTTGGTAAAAATGCTGCTTTCACTGCTAACGGCATAGCCTTTTGATGCAAATGTTTCAATTCAGGTGCACTGTGCACCTGCAAACCCACAGACATCCTTTTTGAATCTCTAAGCATAGGAAAAGCATATCATCTTTTAAAGGGACCACACACTGCTTTCCCCATTGCATTATACAAACATGTACCAACATTTTACAAACACCAAATTCTAAACTCCTGCCTTCCAATCCACAAGCACTCTACCCAACTTCGCAACATAAGGCATGAAATGTAATCGACCATAAACTTGAAGGGTGGGCAGGCTCAAGAGGCCAAATGACCTACTCCAGTTATTTTTTTTGGAAAACCAACTCATCTAATATAAGAAATGGGAACAGTGCAAGCTCTTTTGCTGAAGAGGTGGTTTGAGGATGTGGCCAACATCAATCAGGTTAACTTTATTGCCCCAGCCTTAACTGTTCTGAAATACAGGTGTTTCTCAAGTGCTGCAGCCAATGCAGTTTGGATGTAATTACATGGCATGACATAGGGAAAAACCAAGACATCTAGCCGTGGTGCCCTGGTGACACTGCTGCTCACATCCTACTCAATGGCAGAGCTTCCAAAATGCACTTCATTTGCCAAGTCTACTACAGACCTGAGGCAGATAAGACAATTCAACACATTTGCAGCAAGTATTTCACAGATTTGTCTTAGCAGCTCGTACCGGGGAAGGAGAAAGAAAACAAGGCTGACTGAAATTCAGCAGCAGGCACTGCATGTTTCATATGCATGGATTCTGGGTGAGAAGAGGAGAGCCTCCCAAGTCAATTAACCTGATGACCATCTCAGTTTTAAATTCCATCTCACAAATGGATGTAAACTGGAGACCAGCTGAAGACTAATGAAGCATACAGGCATGAATCAGCATCTTTTGCAGGCACGCTGTCTGAGGCTAGTGAATCAGACGTAAAACACAACAGGAAAGAAAGGTGGAGACAGAAACAGAGCTTCTGAAGGCCTGAAGAGTTATACTGGATTCAAAACATCAACTGTTTCTCTCTCCACAGATGCTGTCAAATCTGCTGAGTTTCTCCAGCATTCTCTGTGTTTATTTCAGATTTCCAGCTTTGGCAGTATTTTGTTTATACTTTTTAAAAAGGCGAAATACAGCCGGCCTGTCTCACTGGCAGCACCCAACACATTATGCAGTACATTCTTACTTCCTTTAAATACCAAAATTATTTCAGATGCATTATAGATAAACCAGCTAAATCTCATTAACAGCCAACAAAAAGTATATCTGTTGGATGTTGATGGCGCTGACTGAGAAAGGATGCCTTCTTTCAAGAGGCTTGCAAAAGAGGCATTGGAATGAGATCTATCCACATTTACCAATGTTCCCACCTAAAATCCTGTTTATCTCCTTTATGATAAACTGCCTCGTTTCTGGGAGCATCAGGTTGCAATCAGGCCACTAACTTGCATTCAGTAGTGCTTACTCATCCAATCAGTTCAGGGCTGGGCTCACAAAGCACAGGTGAAAGAACATTAAAGCAACTGGGAATCATTCAGACAAAAGATCTTCAGTTAACAAGTAGAAAGATAAAACGTAGATCAAATACATCTCCCTGGAAGCTTAACAGTTCAATTAAAGCTCAGCCTCAGCTTTCCAGTAAAATTCTACACTTGAAAGCTAACAGGTCCTGCAATATTACAATTATTTTATTTGTTATTTATTGAAGCAAATCTCACACAAAAGCACCTGTTCAAACAGTGTTTTGTTATAGTTTAGATTTGACTGGCACTATTCAAGGTAGTGGTTCCCTTCCCAGTGCCAGAACATCCAGATCAAAAAAGAATAGAGAAGTTTTTTCACAGGAACTGACTGCACCCAGCTTAATTACATGGAGGCGTCTGTTCACATAAGGCTTATTTAGTACAGAAGCTTCCTGCTGACTAGATATGCTCCTCACAAACACAGAACAGTGATTGATCTGTTTCAGGGATAGTAGGAACTGCAGATGCTGGAGAATCTGAGATAACAAGGTGTAGAGCTGGATGAACACAGCAGGCCAAGCAGCATAAAAGGAGC